TTATTGCAATAAAGTTATTGAACAATAGACAAATAAGCAAAACCACATTTCTGCAGAAAAATCAAACTACAAAAATCTGTTGTTTCATTATTGGCTGGGCCACTTCTGTAGACCTTAGGATGGTGCCTCTCCCAAGTGCAATGGACGGTGCAAACCTAGGCCATGCCCCTTCTATCAACCCCATACAGGTAAATTCTAGAAAGAAAAACTATTTTATATTAGTTAAGGGCAACAAAAATACAATTTGATCCATTACTAAACTGAATTTTCACTTAATAGTGAAAATTCAATTATCAGCGAATTCTTTTCAACAGAATACAATCATAGCATTCATTAAAAATATTCCTTTGTCGCGTATCAACGGAAAATACAAATATAGCATTCATTAAAAGTATTCCTTTGTCGCGTATCAACGGAAAATACAAGCATAGCATTCATTAAAAATATTCCTTTGTTGCATATCAACGGAAAATGCAACCATAGCATTCATTAAAAATATTCCTTTGTCCCTTATCAATGGAAAATAAAATCATAGCATTCATCAAAAATAAATATTACTTTTTTCGCGTATCAACGGATATTCCCTTGTCGTGTATTGCTGCATCTACAATGGGAAATGAGTTACGTAGCACGTTCTGGTATTATTTTCCGGATTTAGAAACATAAACACTCCATGCATGAATGCTGTTCCACCTAAAGTGGAATCCACACATACATACACATATAAAAGCTTTCCGAACTCAAAATACCACATAACCTAACATGCAGCATTTGTGTTTCTCCATTAGATCCAGAACTTCAAAGTTCACATTTGTTGAAAACACACACACAAAAAGAAACACAAAATCGAGTGAGTGTGATCAACTAAGAAATCATGATTTAAGAGATGATCATTTAACAAAATAAGCAATAAAATCTACAAAAACCACAATTACTTTACCTATACAAAATGGAATTTCATCGGGACATTAGACCGACGTATGCAAACACAAACACAGAACGCTACCATCTCAGATTCCACAGCTAATATTAGAATAAGAAAACATCATTAAAATTCAATTAAACATGCAAAAAGAAAATGTAGCACAAATGATCTAAATCAAAACAACACGATCTAAACACACACAAACAAAATTCAGGCAAGCCCAATTTAATCCAGCTAATTTGCTCTACAACCATAAACTTTAGTTCAAAATTTCAGCTAAAAATATATAAGTATGTCAATTCAAGCACATGCAAATCCAAAAACTAACACCAAAAAAAAAAAAAAAAAAAATTTACAGATGATTGATACACATTAAAATCTAAATTGTAGAATGTGGGTACTTCATTCTGCATATATGTATGTATATATAGAGAGATGATACCTTGACTGTTGTGCCGTCCCTCTTGACATGCTCCTTCAAGGTCCATCCCTCAGGAATTCCGGTTTGCATTGGAGAAGCCATTATCTCTCACTCTAGTTTCTTCTCTCTCTAGATTGAGATTGAGTTTGTCCATATGAAGACTAGGGTTAGGGTTTTTAAAAGGGGTTGGAGAAAGATGCCCCTGAAAGCAGGTTGGTTGGTGCGGTGCGTTTCTCTTTGTTTCTGTTGCGCCACCGAGGACGACGACACCAACAACGTGTCAGGAAAAAGACGAACGAAAATTGAATTGCTCTCCATTCCCTTTACGATTCCCTGAGGAAAGAGACAATATGAGAATTGAAGAGAGGGTTTGTTCTATTTTGACTCTTTGAACAACCCCACTGTGTGTGTTTTTTGAGTTTGAATTCTGCGAAAGACTTGTGCATGAGGATGGGGATCCATATGGTTAACTTTGGAAGGAAAATGAATCTACGACGTCGTATTGCCATGGAACTTCTTTATATTGATTGAACTAACTGCTTAGAACTTTGGGGCGCGCAAAAGGTCGCTCCATTCTGATCGAAGGGTCACAATTTTCGAATAATCCCAGCACGAGAGTATGTATTGACAGTGTTTATCTCAATGCATGTCACATTTCGGTTATAGGAGCAATTTTCAATCAAGATTTCTATCATTTTTCATTAGTTAATGTTTTTTACTTCTTAAGATGACCCTTTTATTATTTTATTTTTTTAAAAAAATTGGGTTCTTGCTTAAAATGTTGATTTTAGGTAACAAATCATTTTCTAGTTTCTGTATAATAAATTCCATTTTGTTCAAGTGTTCTTGATTCAATTCATCTGATAAATGGAAAAACAAGTAAATTTTATGAGAAAAATTCTTGCACTTAATAATTGTAATGAATTGTTAGACTTATGTAATAGATAAGAAAGTGAAGTCTTCCACTTAGTTGTATAAATAGTCCAATAAAAATTATTCAATTAGACGATTCACTATAAGTGTCCGGTATAAGTATCACTATTCAAATTTTATTTCCCTTGAAATTGTTCGCATCAAAGACTTGGAAATATTTCTCTTTCATGTTGTTTTATTTTAAATTTTTTTTTATCAAAACTTTTACCTTATCCTTTTTTTTTTCTTAAGATATACGCAGTAAACAAGTAGTAGCATTTTCTATGATTACTTTGTTGCCTAGTAAATCGGAGGCATATTATTTTCTCTCTAACCAAAACATTCAAATTATTGTATTTTCAAGAATCTTTTCAGTAGGTTAGTGATTATTCGAGGTAGAAAAATATTTTTTCACACCCACTGAATAGAATGTTTTAAAGTTTATAAATTGGACCATACTTGTGAATCTTGTGATAATTATTCTGATTTGAAGGGTATTTATGAAAAGATGCATTAATCTATTTTGACTTTTCAAATGAAATAATTATTTTGGAACTGCAAAAAAATAAAATTATGAATAATTAAATTGGGACGGAGGGAAGAAGCTTTCTATTAATTTTAAAGGTTATATTTTGGACCACAGTCGTGATTCCACTAAACCAATCATTTTTAATTTGAAGAAATTATATAAAAAATAAAAAAAAAATTTATAGAATGTACGTAACTTTTACAAGGGTTCTTGTCCCACATCTATTCAAAAAAAGTAAAAAAGGGTATAAATGGGTGGGTATGCTGTACTATTCAATAACTTAAGTTTTTAGGTAAATGGATAAGCGCCCACCTATGACCGTTGATATCATCAGTTCTTGATCCGGTGTCCCGCCAAATGCCATGTCCGGAAGCAACGATGGCGTTGTGAGTTCAAGTGGGCCACACCAGATCCGAATAAAAACTGAAAGTGGTATAAATGGATTGGTATGTAACACTTTTTATCACTTAAGTTTCAAACCTACCTATATCATTTCTTTTTAATGCAAAACCACTATCCTTATTTGTAGTTTTTAAATTTAGTATTTATCAATACTACTAATTATAACAATATAATTACCAAAAAAAAAGAAAAAAAAAAATCCTATATTTACCAACACCATTGTGTCAAAAATTTGTTATCCTATTTTCATTATTGTTGATGATCTGTTTTATGTGCAATTTTTAATATTGGTGAACATTTAAAATTTTGTGAAATTTTATATTTAATCTTAATATATGGAATAATTTTTATTTTTACTTTTGGTAATACATAAGTTGTAAATATTTATGGCGCTGATAAAATATATTATAACATAATATCCTTCAGCAGATTTTTAGTCATGAGATCCTGTCCATTGAGGCACTGGTCCATGCATTTGTAAGAATAAAATAACCGTCATCTCTATTTATAGAAATGTTGACTTGCTTTTAGGTGTGTAGAAAATATTAATACAATCCTCAAATATTAATACAATTAAAATAATAATAATAATAAAAATAGCTGATTTTATATGCAAAAGTTAAGATTTAATTCTTTGGCATAAATTTCTTATACACCAGCCTATATGTATTAGGTGATATATCATCCATCTATTCCCTTTCTTCCTTAAGGGGTGTTACACTATTTGAAAGAAGAGGAGGGAGAGACGTGTATATGGATTTCATTCATTTTTTGTTTTTTAAATATTACATAATTTCTAGAATATTGAGTCACATTAGTACCATTTTTTTTTTCGGATTTTTTTTTTTTTTTTTTTCTCGGCACATTAGTACATTACCTATTAGAAGAAATTATTGTTAAAAAGCATATTTTGCTCTTCTCACACAGTAAAATCATATTTATATGATGCACACTATTGCCTTGTCCATTCTTCTCGGTTCTCACACGGTAAATCCATTCTTCTCACACGGGTAGATCCTAAAGAGATACCACTTCCTCATGAATTTATTTTGAAACGGGATCTTTTGGCTCAACTTTATTCCAATTTTGCCGAGGGAGCAACCCCGTTTTTCACCTTGAATTGGTCAAAATATGCAAAATTTCTTACTTTTCGTGGAGGATTAGATCCAGTTACTGGGGTCTATGGCTGACCGATATTACACACCATCATTAGATTCTTTTGGATCGTACCATGAAACCCAATCGTTACACAGTCCAAGGTTACACAGTCCAAGTGAGTTAGACTCCGACGTCAGAAGATTGGATCGTACCATGAAACCCAATCGTTACACAGTCCAAGTGAGTTAGACTCCAACGTCAGAAGAGAGTCGTATCTAGATTTGGACAGGTTATTGTTCTGATTTTGGATCATGAATAATTATAAATTTTTTTTATTTTTATTTTTTAATTTTGAACCACGGTTCAAAAAGTGTTTTAATATTATGTAATATAAAACAAAACTATACCAAAAATATTTTTCTTGTCAAAATTGACACCAAACATGCCTTTTTGCCAAAATCATAATTAACTTTCATTTATTTTTATTTTATTTTTATCTAAATGAAAAGGGTAACAAAGTTTTTTAAAAAAATATTAATGAAAAAATTATTTAAGAGATTGACTAAAAATTGGAACTGAAACAATGACCCGGCGAAACGAAATACGCAGAGTAAAATTGTGGGGGTTCAGATAACCAAAAAAAGAATTTTGTGTTGTACAGGAAAAAATAATACAGTAATAAATAAATAAATAGAGAGTAACAAGAATATACAGAGATCAGAGATTGGTTATAGTAATCGGTCACGGTTAGTCAGAAACACGGACCAATAAATTACTCATCATATCTCAAACGAAACACACACCCATCGAATCTGTAAACTCCATAATAATAAGAGTATAAATGTACAAAACAAGAAAATTAAAGATCTACGTAGTATATCTATTAAAAAGGATGAAGAAATAGATCATCAGAGACTTAAATACAAATAATCACGAAAAATTCCATCATTTTGTTGCAGTTTTCTCTCTCATCACTTGATCTTAATTTCCCGATAAACAGAGCATTCGAAATTATGCTAACACAGTAAAGACACAGATTAAAATATATATATATATATATATATCGAAGTGATCGTAACTATTGAACACTAAACCCTAATTAGAGAGTGGGAGGGTGAAGACAGAGGAACTGACGAAGGGATTGCGGCGTTTGAAGCACTTATACAGTCTTTGCAGTGAAACTCCGGATGCCCTAGGATGGGAATATTGTTTTTTATTTTTTATTAATCAATTTAGGCCTCGGGGGCCTAACCCAGATCAACTTGATCCCATTCTGGAAAAAAAAAAAGTTTCGATAATTAAGGATTTGCATAAAAAAAGAAAATAAATACAGGGATAACGAGGGGGTATGCCCCTCCGGCCCAATGAGGATGGGCTAAAAGAAGAGAGAAGAGAAGTCCACAAAGTGGCCCAACAGATATGAAAATAAATCCATACAACAAATATTGAATCCTGCAGTAAATATATCCACTCAGGCACAAACTAACCCAATCAAAGACATGGGCATGAAAGATCAACAACTTAGAAGCATCATAACACGGGGTACTGTGGGGGCGGCTGCGGGTGTGGCTGCGAGGGTGGAGGGGGTGATTCAGGGAGGTTGTGGTTGTTGTTTGGAAATGTAAAGAAGGGATTCGTATGGGTTAAATCAAAGAAAGATGATAGGAGGCTCCATAAGAAACCGATTTCATCTCGGACCAGGCTTGGATTAGCGAATCAGGCAACCCGAGCCTATTCCAAACCTGAGCATCAAACCAATGCGTCATGTTAATATCTTTAATTATTTTAAAGATGGAGTGCAAAAAACACCCTTATAATATGTTTATAATGCATATTTCACTTCTCTGATATAAAAAATACTCCTAAACTATATCATTGGTGCAAATAGGTCATATTTATAATAATTGGACTAAAATGCCCTTAGTAATACATTTTATAATATATATATATATATATATATATATATATATATATATATATATAAATATTTTGTAAAATGACTAAAATATCCCTCAATTTATTGTAAATTGACAAATTATATATACACAGATAGTGGCGGATCCAAGGGGGGGCTTGGGTGGGCTTGAGCCCCCCTTAAATTATTATTATTATTTTTTTAGTATAGGTATAACCCAATGTTTTAAAAAAGAAAATATTAGCAGTAGTATTAGCCTCCCAATTTTAACCCTTCCAAACAAGCCTAATATCGAAACCATAATTTTAAAACAAAGGCTCAACCAAATAGGCCCAAGCCAAACAAGCCCTAAAAAATCACTAAGCCAAAGCATAGAGAACTCTTAAATTCCTAATCTTGCACAAATCAGAGAGCTCACTCATTCTCTCCCTTTAAAGTCTAACCCTATTTCTTCTAAAATTTTCTAACTTTTTAATTTTTCGATCTCCAATTCCCCCTTGTTTAATATTAACCCCCCATTAACAATTCCTGGATTCGCCCTTGTACACAGATACATATATATATATATACACAGATGTTGCTTAGGAGGGGGTGAGAGATTGATGTCAACGTCGTAGGGGAGTGGAGGAGATAAAGACGGAGATGTCGCCGGGGAGGGAGGGAGAGGTACATGTCGATTGGGATCGCTAGCAGGTCTCGGTCGAGCTGACGGGATGGAGAACACATCGAGCATGGAGAGAGGTATATGGTGGGTTATTTTCCGGTCAATAAGCTCTAGCGGGATGGAGAACTTGTCGAGCATGGAGAGAGGTATAGCATCGGCGAGGATGCACTCGAGTCTGGAAGAGCAAGGTCTCCATCCCGCTGGCGGCGAAGGTCTCAGCTGCGAAGGAGCTAGCGGGGTCGCCGATTACGGTGGCGCGTAGGTTGCGGTAAGAGATATGTGGATCAGATTTCTCTGTATAAGAAATCGATCTCACTCTTTCAGAAACCACACTCAACCTTTCCATTTATCTCTCTAAAATTTCAGCATTTCAAGTTACTGTTTATTATTTATCCTCGCAATAACATATATGTAATTGTAAAAATTTGTGTATATATATGTATATATACATATCGATATATAACGAGAGATTGATTGGTTGATTGATGATTCAAATGATTTATCTCAATTTACTATTTGCTTTATCTTTATTGGAGCAATTTGTTTATTGATCTCTCTTTATATTTTAACCCATATCTAGTGTGTTGGAAGATGTATATCAAATATACAAGATAATATTCTTTTTTTTTTTTTTTTTTGGAAAATTTCTTTTGCATTACTATGTTTTTGGTTATGATTTGATTTAAAGAATATATCAAGGATTTTTTTTTTTTTTAAAGAATACTGGGTTTGTATAGCCGACGCTAAGAGGTGCTCGGCGCTGATGGATCTGGCGAGCGGTGGTGACAAAGACGCTTTGTGGCAGAGAGTGCGGAACGGCGGTCGGCAAGCAAGGGAGGGCTTGGCGGTGAGAGGAACGACAGGCAAGGAAGAACTAAATCGGCCGTGAGCTTGATGGGTCCGGTAAGGATACGATTTCTGACGGCAATGGTCGAAGTGACGGACAGAGACTTGTAAAAAAATACGAGTCCAGTGGTGGTTGATTTACAGATCTTAGGACCGGGTTTTTGGGTAGATGGCGGTGATGGGTGGTGATGGTTTGGGTTTGATTTTATGAAACCCAACCTTGTGAACACATACCTCTCCGGCAGCTTATTCCCGACCACCGCAACCTCTACCTCTCCCTCTATGAAATGGGCATCAACAAGATAGGGGTATTTTTGGAAGAGTAAAATGGTAAAATGGGCATTATATTAATTAATGGTGTTTTTTGCACAAATTGAAAAGAATATGAGTGTTTTTTGCACACCTTTTTAAATAGGGGTAAAAGTGCTAAGAAATGTATACTTCAGAGGCGTTTTTTGCACTTACCCCTTATTTTATTTGTGACAACCAAATTTAACTCTAGCTTCACAAAATAAAGATGTGTTAGGCTCGGGTTGATTAGCACGGTTGTTAGTCGAGTTAGGATACGGTTGAAGATATCATTTCCCATGCAACCCGAGTTAAGCCTCCCTTCAACTCACTGGAGTTACACGTATAGTAATCAGGACTAAAGGTGCACACAGTTCAAATTTAATTGTTTTAAGAATAATTTGGAACTAAATCAATTTTGACAATTTTATAAAAATTGAAACCAACAAAATCAAACCAACCAAACTATGAGAGAACGGTTTATTTCGGTTCGATTCTTCGTTTTTGGGTTGAAATGAAATACATGTATATATAAAAATGATATTATATATTATATATCATATTTTATTACTCTATATTATATAATATATAAATATAGGGTGAAATAGCCCGACTTCCCTGAAGTTTGATTAGATATCTCTAAGCTGAAACTATTGTCAAAATAGCCCATTACCTCTACTGGGATTTGTCAAAATAATCCCTGATACCCGTTGAGGGTTGTCCAAATTTCTCTAACGGTCTAACCACCTCGGTAATCAATGGAATGTTTTTTAATGCCCAAACTACCCTAAAATGAGAGAAAATTACTCAAATGATCTTAATTGTTAGAATACCAAATAACCATTTAAACCAAATTTAATTGAACAAAACTAACATTTCTTATATCTATCCTTTTGGATTGTTTTGCAGAGTTGAAAATAATTTCTTGTGGGCAGTTGAAGACATAAAAAAATTAAACAAGTGGTTTATTGATGAATCAAATGATGAATTCTTATTAAACCCTGTTTGATTTTCTATTTCAGCGTTGAATGCAAAATACGGTAAGTGATTTTTAAAAATAAATGTGTTTGATAAAATTTTAGAATACCGTTTAATATGGCAAGTACCGTTTAAAAGAGGCCAAAATTTTAAGCGAGGAGAAGGTTGCTTATCGCTTATCGCAAAAGACAGTAAGTAATTAGGTTTTAAAACTATTTTTTTAATGACTACTCTATCCTCAAATAATCATGCTCTCTCATCTAGAACTCTCTTTGCAATTTCTTTCTGCATCTAGAAATAGAATGAGTTCTCTAGTTGAAAAACTCTTCTATATATATTTGGTTGGTTGTTACTTCTTTTTTTTCTTCTTTTTCTTTTTTACTTTTACATTGTAGAACAAATTCTTTAAAAAATATATAATTTTACCAAATTCCCAAAATAATAATAATAATAATTCTACGTATTATAGTATAAACAAGTCTCTTTGGTTACCTATTCAAATTGATTTAATACCAATATTTATATAACAAAATTATATTTTTAGATAAGAATTATTTTTCACCTACTTTCTTTAATATTTTTAACATCCTTTTCAATACTGTACATAAATATTATATAATCCAAAGCCCATATATTTTAAATAATATAATTCTATTTCTAGTTAAGAATTTTATATTTTTATGATTATTTGACATTATTATTCATTGTTAAATTGATATATTTCATTGAGTGAATTAATGTGGTTATTTTATTAATACTTTTATATTATAAAATTGTTATGAGTACCATATATTGAGGGGCAAAAATATAATTTGTACAATTTTCAGACTTTAGCTTTTGTATATAACAAACAATGTTAATGAATTTAGTACTTAAAATTAAAACATTATCAAACGGGTTTCAAATTAATACATTCAACACCTAAAATTTTAGCGTTTAAAATTCCGTACTTAAGATTTTCCGTGCGTAATTTTTAATTTTATTAAACAATACCTTAGCCAATGTCTATTTTATTGAATTATTTGTTGAATACTTTGTTTTAACTGCAAATACGTTGAATTATATGTTAAAATGATTATTTGGTATACTAATAAGATGATTTGAATTATTTTTCTCACTTAGTGGTAGTTTGTCTATTTATAAATTTTCATTGATAGACTTAACTCTAATTAAGTGATCAGAGAAATTTAGACAAATCTCAATACGTGTCCATAATTATTTGAACAATAATTTCAACGTGGAGATATTTGGACAGAGGTTGGGGTATTTCACTCATAATTATATTATATT